CCCCAAAACCCCAAAACCCCAAAACCCCAAAACCCCAAAACCCCATCTGTTTAAAATGAATGTAAATCTAAGTTACTTGAAAATAATAAAAATATTTAATCTCTAAGTATAGATTATTTAAAACTAGTAGTTTAATCAAAATAAAATGGGTTGCTGTCAAACTAAAAAACAAGCAAAAAATCAAAATATCAAAGAAGGTAACGATCAAGTCAAAAGCCTTGATGACTACGATTCTCTGCATCAAGATGATCCAGATAAGAGAGGAAGACGTAGAACATTTTAAGAATAGAAAGAAAGTAAACTGAGTGTGGACACACCCAACGATTAGTAGCACGAACTTAGTAATTCAAGAGCGACTAAGGGAGAAAGACCTTTAAAGAAATAGCAGAGGAAGTCTACTAGAGTTAAGGAGGGTGCTGATCTCCTTGACGAATTGAAAAAGGCAGTATACAATAACGATGAAGAGCTGTTGAATGAATTGCTAGAGATTGATCCTGAATTGTGTAATATGATGGTCCACGAGGACAAAAAAGTTCATATTATTCATATTGCAAGCAAGTAGAGCGATAATGATAAAATCGTCAGAACCCTGATAGATAAGGGAGCTGATATAGATTGCACCGATGTTAAGAACTGGACGCCACTGATGATTGCAGCTATGAACGCCAATATTGCAGTTGTTAAGCTATTAGTGGCTTTGGGATGCAATTTAAGTATGGAATCATCAGATGGAAAAACTGCTAGAGAGTTTGCAGAAGAGACTCTTCTTGAGGAGCAAGAGAGGAAGAACTAGGATATAAAGACAAAGAAAAAAATTGCTGATTTGCATAAAATCATGTCACTTTTACCTGATGAATAAAAGGTGGATGATGATCATGTAACTCCTAATAACCCTAATTCAAGGCCTAGCAGTGTTTATAAGATGAATAAAATATGAGAATTAGAAAATTATAGATTTATATGAAATATACATCCTAAACATAATCATTTCAAAAATAAAAGTAAACTTCTACTCTTTGGGGTTTTGGGGTTTTGGGGTTTTGGGG